TATGACATAGTAGTTCATGATGTTACAAGTTTCTTTACACACAAAACCAAAAACCAAACCAAATTCACTGTCGAATTGGATCCGACTCATAGCTACCCATCCTTGGGTTTCCAAGGTGATAACACTACGAAGTAGATTGCTCAACCTTCCTTCCGAGGAGTGGCCAGTGGGTTTGAACCGCCAGCCTTCTGGTTAGCAGTCAAATGCCTTTGGCACTATGCCACCAGAGCTCCTTCTTTACACACAGCGTCCAAAATTAAGGAAAATTATCCTTCTCTATCTCAGAACACATCAGGAAAAGTACAGTGAAAAAACCTGATTGTCCGCAACAAGAAATAATTGCCAAATTGTGTTTAACTTTACCACATGGATGCAGTCAGCAAGAACCAGAACTGAAAAACTCAGTAGAACTAAAGATACAGTTTCATCAACAAATAAAAGTACAAAAGAGAAAAAAGAGGCTAAAAGACTTCAAGCAACGTATCAACCAAATGGAATGTGTGGTCCTTATTATCTGGATCATGACTCAATCAACTATACAAATACATATTTTTTTCAAAATAATTAGAGAAACTTGAACACCAACTGAATATTTGATGATATGAAGGAATTAATGTTAATTATTTAAGATGTGAAAATGTGATTGTTTCTAAAAAATGTCACTTTTTTAGAGATATATAATATTTACAGAGGAAATTATAAAATGTCTAGAATTCGTTTCAAAATGATTTAATGTGTAGTAGCATGAGGAAATTGGGGGGAGGGGTAGCTTGCCATGAGTTAGTAAACGGCAGCACATCCTTCTTCTCTCTCCCTACAGGGTCCTGTCTCCTCCCTCACTGGTGGGGTCTTCACGCTGCCTGGAACTCCCAGGAGTGCATACGGGCTTGGCCTCCTCCACTCAATAAATCCCCTCCCAAGGAGCTGGTGGAGGTATTGTCATTAAGATGACAACAGATGCCTGCAAGTTACTATTACGCTCAGAATGAAGTAGGTACATTTGGAAGAGGAAAAACACCTTTAACCTAAAGGTATGAATTTCTAAATTCGGTCACTATGATTCAGAATAGCAGAGAAAATATGCTCCATGCCACCCCTAATTCCCATACAAACACACATACAAAAGGGGTTCCAGGCCACCCTACAAGTCATGTAACATAGTAAACAAACACACACAAAAAAACCCAAATGTGATGCTGTCAAGTTGATTCCAATTCATGGCGATCCCACGTGTTATAGAGTAGAACTGTGTCATAGGGTTTCCTGGCTGCAATCTTCACATTAGCAGATTGCCAGGGCTTTCTCCTGCAGTGCTACCTGGTGAGTTCAAACTGAAGTTCGTAGTCAAGTGCAAAGTGTTTATGTTAGCTAGAGACCTTTACGTCATGGACAGAACCATTCTATTTGCACCAAATGAGCTCTGGGTTGAGGAACAAGCCCTGTGCCTTTACAGCAGGAGCAGCAGCATAATGAGTACATGGGCTGGAATGTAGGACCCATGAAACAGGTTGCCCAGTAGAGGGAACATGCCTCTTCACACATCACAGAAATAAGGTCAGCTTGGCTGGGGCAAGGGTTCTTAATGCAGAAAAATCAAACTACCCATTCTGGACATTAGAACATAAAAGAACAAAAATGCCTGACTCCACAAAAGATACCATCTGAAACGTGTTTCCTGTCACAGCCACCTGCCTTTTCATTTGGAATCTGGGTTATGTCTCATTAAACAGAAGAGTTGATTCAGTTGGGTACATCTAATTATTCTTATTAAAATATGTAACCATAATATTTTAATTGTAAATTACAGTTACATGCATGAATGAATCTGAATTCATTTTAATTTTACAGTGGCCCAATGCCAAGGCCTTTTTATGGGGAAAATCCATCAGCTAGGATACTGCTCTCTTGGGACTTCAAACCAATGTGCAAATGGAAAATGTTTAACTAACATGGGATATTCTCACTCCCTTTTCTTCTCTCTCTAGATTTATTACAGTAATAAAGCTATTTTAACAAGAGAGATTGCATTTGATTCCTCACCCCTCAAATGTTTTGAAAAAAAAAAGAAGAAGCTGAATTACCAAACTTACTAGGCTGACACTACCCATTAGGAGGGACCGAGATGTCACCCTCAGCCTTTTGAATCTTGAAGAAGGATGGTAAATAGATCCCATATTAGGTATCAACCTCCTGATTAATTACTAATGTCCGCCGTGAGCACCACGTGGAAAGTGCTTATACCACCCTTGGTAGAGATTCTAGAACCATCAGTGATATTGAAGTTGGCCTTTACATAAGTGATTAAGTGGGACCTGAAGTGTTTTCCACTAAACAACCAACCAACCACTAGGATATTTAAAGAACTCAACAAAAACCTCCTCTACTTTTAACTGGCATTGACTACAGGGTGCTGTTGGGGTAGGCAGTGAGATAAAAATATCTTTTATAACTGAGGCATTTGGAAAACCTCTTTCTGACTTGAACGGTAAGGAGGAGTTAGCCAGTCAACATGGTGTGAAGGCTGGGGAAGGGAGATTATTCTAGGCAGAGGGAAACACATCTGTGAAAGCCCCAGAGTGTGAAAGCATTCAAGGAGCATTCAAGGCTCCAAAATCAGCTCAGGACAAGAGGAGGGAGGGATGCACTTAGGTGGGGGAGGAGAAGACGAGCCTGAAGTAAAAAAGCAGGTTCAGATCCTGTGGGGCCCTAGAAACTACACTCAGGAGCTTGAGTTTGTTCTAAGAGGAATAGGGATCTATTTAGAGTTAAAAGCCAGGAGATTATTCTGACTTGATATGTAATGAACAGTGATCTATTACAGTATATTCAGAATCTGAGGACAGTGGTGGCTCAGTGGTAGAATTTTTACCTTCACTTGCAAGATCTGGGCTCAATTCCCAGCCAATGTATTTCATTCATAAACTATCTCAGTGGTGGCTTCTCTGTTGCTAAGATACTGAATAGGTTTCAGAATAAGACAGACTAGGAAGAAAGGTCTGAAAATCTACTTCCAAAAATCAGCCAATTAAACTCTATGTATCACAACAGTCTGATCTCATTGTGCCATGAGTCAGGAGCCAACTCAGTGGCAGCTAACAAAACAAATCCAGCATCCAGCCTTGCTATATTCTTGCATAGCTTTGTTTAATTCTTGATGACAGAGGCTAACGTAAATTCCTAAACAGTATACCATTTTTCTGCTTGGCAGTAGTTTTTCCCTTTTCCTTTTCCCGTTTCAGTTGGAGAGTATCCCAGTTTAAAATTCCTTAATGTAGGAGCTGTGGTGGTGTAGTGCCTAAGGCATTTGACTGTTAACAAAGGCTGGTGGTTCAAACCCACCAGCCACTCCTCAGAAGGAAGGTTGGGCAATCTACTTCAGTAGAGATACTGCCTTGGAAACCCAAGGAGGGGTCCCTATGAGTTGGGATGACTTGATGGCAGTGAGTTTGGTTGTGGTTTGATAATATTATGATGTAATTATTTGTAATAAAGGATCTGCTCAAGGACAATTAAAGGCTTTGTTTATGTAGTTGGTTATAATCTCTCATTTGTATTAACTATAAAATGAGTTTATAATAAACAAACGAATAAAAGCATCTTCTATTTGGAAAAAGTCTTTGCTCCTTTCACTGGTAGTTTATTCTCCCAAGAGAAAAACTTTTAAAATATGCCTTTGGAACAGTGCTAGCGATGGGCAGACCCCATTTCCATGGTATAACCTGCCTTGTGGTGTCAGGGCAGTGCCAGTATTTGCTGGAGCAAACTTCTTGGTTCCAGTGTTGTCTGACAGAGATGTGGGGAAGTATGCTTGATCTTTGTACTGTGTAGGGTTACCTTTGTGTAGGGAGGGGTGGGAGGCAGGAGGGCTAACTGGAAAGGGACACAAGGATACCTGCTGATGTGCCAGAAACACCTATACCTTGATCTGAGTGATGGTTACATAGGTGTTTGCATAAGTAAAACTCCATTAAGTTGAACACATAAGATTAGGGCACTTTATGCATTTTACTGTATATATATTGTAGCCTGATAAAAAGAACAAACAAAAAAAACTGCCTTTGAAAATGGGGGGAGCCCATTCTGGAATTAAAGGGTAGAAATGGGCTGGACTACTGAGGAAAGTCTGAACCCAAAGACAGGGATGAAAGAAAGGATGGAAGGTCTTACAAAGGTATTTCAGGAAGGATTCTCTCAAACAGACTGTTTATAGTTTTTGAACTCGGGCAAGGTACACCCAGAACTACATGACTCTGTGAGTGTGTGCATGCCCACGTGCCACAGTTCAGTGTCCCTAGGCTCATAAAGCAACCGTGTGTGCGGTACCATAGCAGTCAGGGTAGGACAGATGGAGAGTTCTTGGGGAGGGTTGTTCAGGAATGGTTTGGTACCATGGTTGTCCAATCCTTCTCCCAGTCAGGTGGAAGCTCAGGAAGCTGGAATTGGAGGCCTGAAGTCAGGCTGCTGTCAGAAAGGAACAGGCTTATCTGCACCATGTGAAACCTAGCCAAGAGATCCAAAAGGCAGCAAGAAGAGCAAAACTGAGACTAACGGCAAACAGGTCTCTTGGGGTGTTACCTAAAGGTGGGAGGATTCAGGTATAAGGCAACAGAGTAGAAAACCAAGAAAGCACACCTGAAAGAGCAAGGAGTGGGAGGCAGAGCCAGGAAAAATTCTGAGTCACAAGAAAAGGCATTTCTTATAAGCAATGGGTAGGAGAGTGCTATAAAAATACTCCATAGCTCAGTCACTGGACCTGAAAATGAAAGCAGAGGATGCACCAACGATGAGTGAGAAGAATGGGTGCTAGGGAGTAGATAGACATTTTGTTCTTTCAGCAGCCCTCCTCTAGAACTGCCCTGCAATATCTTGACTCACCACCACAGATTTATGGGTAGTGAATGAAGAACTAACTACAGGGAGTCAAAGCTTAGGTTGGCTGCTGGTTTTTAGTATCAATGTGCCCTCAGGGATTATTTATTTGTGGATTTGTGATGACATACCTCTTTTTGTTGTTCTGGAAACATCTTCAGCATAGGACCCAGTCAACCTGAAAAATAAAAAATCCATACTAGGTGATTTGGAACTTCCATCCTAGAGCACACATGCCTATGATGGTTTTCTAACAGAGTCCTCCTGTGAGAAGCTGCCCACCACAGTTCCCAGAAGGTGAACCGCTGCTCCTCGCCCCAATCTGCTGCCAACTGGACCAGCATGTACCTCGGTCCACATGAGGATCGGAAAATTGGACCATGTCAAGTCTAAAGTATGACAGGCCCTCAAACAAGAAAGCCAGGCAGAGCCAGGCTGAAGTCAGCACCTACATGAGTCAAACAAGTCAAAGGATTTAATAATTCACTTACTTAAGAACTGGAGCCTATCTACCACAAAGTTAACAGAAGCCATTTCTGAGTAGGGGAGTATGACTGGTTTTAACTTCCTTCTTTTCTGCAATTTTCTAGAAGCTCACAATACATTGGTTACTTTTTGTGGTAGTTATGTTTGTGTGTCAACGTGGCTGGGCCTGGTTGAGTGGCTGGGCAGCTCATCCCCATGATGAGACTGACAATCAACTCCGTGGTGGGATCTACCACAAGCAGCTGAGTAGCTGCATTTGGGATGTGGTCTGCTTCCTGTATACAAGGAGAAGCCTTGGGAATGGTCTCTAGCTTACGGCATGCTTGGACCCTGCATGTAGCCGTGTCGTTGTTCAGCAGTCTGCCATGCTCTGACAATCTTGGGACTTACAATGGACTTGAACTAATGGCCTGCCTTGTGATTTGGTAACATCGGCACTATGCCTTTTTACTTGTCAACCTTGAGCTTGGCAACCTCAGCAGCCAGCAGCTGTCTGATTGAAGAAAAGCCTCTAGCTTCAGTGGGTTGGGAGCTGGAGGCAGAGCTGAAGCCCAAGGCTAAGGGTCTTTCACCCAGCCCCTAGAGCTTGGCACTTTGAACTTGGACTTAAAGCCTCCAAATTGTAAGAATAAACTCCTGTTTGTTAAGGCCATCCTATTTGTGGTATATTTTCTGTTAGAGCAGCACTAGATAACCAGAACACTTTTAAAGTCAGAAGAACGTATTTTTAAAAACGAAAGTAAAACCTAATGTGTTCAGTAAGTTTTATATTTCCTCCCTAGAAAACAAACAACAGATAAGTTAATTTCACTTTTTGTGTTTCATTTATTTCCTCCTAAGATGTTAAGTAATTTGTCTGGGGGGGGGGAACCCACCAACTTCTTACTTTCACCTCACTTCATCTCATAGGGATACTCCTTCCATTAGGTTATTTTTAAATGCAAATTTTACTTAAGCACCAGCTTTCCTTATCTCTGCTCTGGATGTTCTTGCTATCCTTTGCCTAGCACTGGGCTTGTCTGTAGTGGTGCCAAAGTTCTTCCAGACCTCTTCCCCTCTAGGGAAGCTCTTGGCCAGGGTCCCTGCTCAAGGGGCAGCCATACAAGGAGCCCTGCTTTGTATCACCTGGCGCCCTCCTCTTCTGACAACTCTAGGGAAGCCAGTCCTCTGGTTGGCCAGGTATCTAAGGCAAAGCCTGGCTTGAAAACAGCCAGGCAATAGTTCCCTCCCAGCATCTACACTGGGAAATACGAGACCGGGCAGTTCTCCTTAGGAATCTAAGTTTGACAGGGACAAGAAGAAAACTGAAGAGTCATGAGTCATATGTAAGGCTTGGAGTTCTGAGGGCCCAGAGATGATACTAGAACAGAGGCTGGCCTCCAGAAACAATGAATTACACCAAGTGGCTTTGGCTGCCGACATCCACAGCACCACCCTGGAGCAAACGCCAATTCAGAGTTCTCCTTTCCCAGAGGCCTAAGTGAACCTAAGGAGCCGTGTTGGTGCAGTGGTTAAAGCATCTGGCTGTTAACCAAAAGGTCAGTGGTTCAAACTACTACATGGGAGAAAGATAAGGTACTCTGCTTCCATAAAGATTTAAAGCTCTGGAAACCCTATGGGGCAGTTCTACTCTGCCCTATAGGCTCACCATGGGTCACATTCATCTCGATGGCAGTGGATTTTTGAAGTTCACCTCCTGAGTTCTCATGCACAGTGTCCTTACAACAAGCACCCCTTCACTCAAGGTAGCTTAAGGGAACCCCAATTTGTACAATCCAATGACAGCCAACAATAACAACAAAAGAGCTACACCAAAACATGAAAAGTGGGCTAAAGTGGAGGTATCCATCCACTTTGGGGAGAGCCTGCAGAGGGAGCAGAACCATCTGTAAATCAGGCCCCAAATTGTTTTCTCCCTGTTAAAACTTAAAAAAAAAAAAAAAAAGTTAAAGAATATAAGCAGAAATCTGGAATCCAGTTAAAGTTAGAAACACATTTGTGTCACTGAAGTTTTCCCACCCTTTATCACAAAAGAAAAATCATCTTAAAGAAATTTATTAGCAGTCTAAAAATTACTAAAAACAACGAAACCACTAACTTACTAGTTTCTGCAACAAAAAAGTTCCATATATGGTCATGAAGATGATAGCAGACCAAATGTAGAGTTTAAAATCTAGCAACAAGTGAAAAAAATCATAGAATTTCAGCCTCACAATTATTTTGGTGGCACTTAGGAAAAGTGTTACCCTTAGAATTACAGACAATCTGGACATAGTGCTTGAGTGTGATGGGCCTGACCTCCACCTCCCTTCATTCCCACACTAAGGAAGGCCACTGCGAAGATGTGTGTGTGTGTCAGGGGTGAGGGGTTAGAGAAAAACAGGACTAGAGTAAACAGAATTGAGGAAAAGAAGCCATGAAAACCAGATGTAGGAAAGCGGAACTGACCATGAGCGGAAATAATACTGGACTTCCTAATCTGTGCCGTGTCATCCTCTTTCCTCAAACACAATCCTAACCTAGCCCAACTCAAACCAAGACTAGCTCTAACTCTCGCAAAAGTACACCCAATTAGAATTTCATTTGGGCTAATATTTTTTCTCTTTTAAAAAGGCAGATAAAATAAATCTCAAAAGTCGGGGAAGGTATTAGTAATTTACATATTAATGTAACTTTGTCCACTTGAATGCATTCCTCTTTAACTGAGAGCTGCCTCCCCTCCCCTTTCCTACCACCATATAGGGCTTTTGATAGGAAGAGAAAGAGAGGAAACCATTTGTATTATGGCACATGTACTCCTTTGGAAGCTGACGCATCCCTAGTGTCTTGCCCCAGGAATGTGTAAAATTGGAGAACACAACCTACTAAAGAACAGTGGACAATGCCCTGCCTTCTCTCCTGCCGCCAGCTGGAGAGACATATCTTTCCAGCTCACTCTAGCCCTTCACTTAGGAAGAAGACTTTGCAGTACTGCAACGACTTTCCATCAAAGTACTATCTAAACATACTATCTAAATATACAAAGTACTATCTAAAGATAGCCAAATAATGAAAACAACCCAAATGTGCATTTACAGAAGAATCAACAAATTGTAGCAGTCATACAGTGGAATATTACACAGCACTAAAAAGAATGAAGGAACTCTGGTGCCTAAGGCATTTGACTGCTAACCAGAAGGCTGGCGATTCAAACCCACCAGCCACTCCTCAGAAGGAAGATGAGGCAATCTACTTCCATAGTGATACTGCCTCAGAAACCCAAGGAGCGCTCACTATGAGTAGTATCTGACTCGACAGCAACAAGTTTGGTGGGTTTTTTTGGGGGAAAAAAATGAACCACGATAAATGCAACAACATGGACAAATCTTACAGATTGCACTTCAAGCAAAAAAAAAAAAAAGAAAAGTAGATACTGATGGAACAAAACCCAAAAATCATTTTGGGGGAAAGAAAGGGACCAGGTTTGCTGATCTGATACAGCCTGATGGGACCACTGAGACGATGGCCCCTAACTGCCCTTCAGGTCTGAAATTGAACCCACTCCTGTGGTTTCCAGCCACAGGATATAAGGTGAGCATTTATACTAGGTAGGTACACTCCTTGGACAGAACAATCATGGGAGAATAGAAAGGCTATGTACACACAGAGAGACGGCTCAGGGGGCAGGAGTGCATGGAGGGAAAGACACGGGGGAAGAGGTAACTATGAGGAGGAAGTGGGAGGGGAGCTGTTGTATTGTGGGAAATTGTAGTCTCAATGTCATGAGACAAAGTGTATGTGAACTGCTGTATGGAAAGTGAATTTGCTCTGTAACCTTTCACCCAAATCACAATTAAAAAAAAAAAAAAAGAGTAGACACGGAATGTCTATCTATATAAAGTTCAAGAATAAAACATGGTGATAGAAGTTAGAACAATGACTAGGGGTAGTTGTTGTTATGTGCCGTTGAGTTGGACCCGACTCCTAGCGACCCCTCCTTGGGTTTCCGAGGCAATATCACCACGGAAGTAGATTGCCCCATCTTCCTTCCGAGGAGTGGCTGGTGGGTTTGAACCGACAGCCTTCTGGTTAGCAGTCAAGTGCCTTAGGCACTATGCTACCAGAGCTCCTGACTAGGGGTAGAGGGTTGGAGATATCAAGAGGCAGGAGCTCAAGAGAGAGGAAGGCTTTTCAAATATTAGAAATACTCTCTATTTTGATTTGAGTGGTGGTTACTTGTATGTGTGTGTGTATGTAAAATTTTACTGAGTTGTACACAAGATTTATGCACCTTAAAACCAAAAAAAAAAAAAAAAACCAAACTCACTGCCATCAAGTCAATTCCAATTCATAGTGACCCCCTTTGGGTTTCCAAGGTGGTAAATCTTTATGGAAGTAGATTGCCCAGTCTTCTTTCCACGGAGTGGCTGGTGGATTTGAACTGCCAACCTTCTGGTTAGCAGTCAAATGTCTTAGGTACTACACTCCCAGAACTCCTTATGCACCTTATTATATATATATTATAAGGAACTCCAGTGGTGCGGGGGATATATCGCCTCGGAAGTCAACTCGTCGGATTCAATTCGACAGCTGTGAGTTTGGTTTAATTTTTTTGGTTCTAGTGGTGCAGAACTGAAAGCATTTGACTGCTAACCAGCCGCTCCACAGAAGGAAAATGGGCAACCTACTTCCGTAAAGATTTACCACCTCAGAAAC